AGACGGGGTTTCACCATGTTGACCAGGATGGTCTCGATCTCTTGACCTTGTGATCCACCCGCCTCGGCCTCCCAAAGTGCTGGGATTACAGGCTTGAGCCACCGCGCCCGGCCTTCTAGTCCATGTCTTTAACTTTCTGTCTTTTGTCATCAATTAAAACAAATTTAATGTAGTCAAGCAACTTTGAAGGATTCTGAGTTTTTCTGCTGTGGTTAAAAAGGTTACTACCCTGGGAGGAAAGGGAGAACTAGGAGTTATTGTTTAATGGCTACAGAGTTTCAGTCTTGTTAAGACAAAGAGTTATAGAGATTGACTGTATAACAATGTAAGTGTATTTGATATTTGACATTATTCAACTGTACACATAAAAATGATTAAGATGGTACATTTTATGTTAAATATGTGTGTGTGTGTGTGTGTGTGTGTGTGTGTGTGTGTGTGTATTTGTTTATTTTTGCGATGGAGTCTCACTCTGTTGCCCAGGCAGGGGTGCAATGGCACAATCTCTGCTCACTACAACTTCCACCTCCTGGGTTCAAGCGATTCTCCTGCCTCACCCTCCTGAGCAGGTGGGATTACAGGTGTGAGCCATACCAGGCTAATTTTTGTATTTTTAGTAGATATGGATTTTTCTCCATGTTGGCCAGGCTGGTCTTGAACTCCTAACCTGAAGTGATCTGCCCACCTCGGCTTCCCAAAGCGCTGGGATTACAGGCGTGAGCCACCATGCCCGGCCTATTACATGTATTTTACAAAAAAAGAAAAAGATTTCCATCCAGAAGGTATGCAAATATTTTTCTATAATTTCTTTCAATCTTTTCATAGTTTTTCAAACATTTAGTCCTTCGATCTATCTTGTGTTGTTGATATGTATCTTTGTATAAAGTATATAAAACACGGATCACATTTTGTCATCCTGCAGTAATAGAAAATACCATCTACAATGCCCTATCTAAAAGTTCTCTCTTAAAAAAAATGGTAAGATTTTTTTCTCTCTTTGAATGCTAAGATTACGGATGATTTTTATTTATTTTTTGCTTCTCTGTATTTCTAAAAGTTCTACACTGAACATATAGTACTTATGCCATTAAAAAATACAGGGAGGCAGCCACGTGTAGTGGCTCATGGTTGTAATCCCAACACTTTGGGAGGCCGAGGTGGGTGGATCGCTTGCAGCCAGGAGTTTGAGACCAGCCTGGTCAACATGGATATACCCCATCTCTACTAAAAATACAAAAATTAGCTGGGGATGGTGGCAGTTGTCTATTGTCCCAGCTATTTGGGAGGCTGAGGCACATGAATTGCTTGAACCTAGGATGCAGAGGTTGCAGTGAGCTGAGATTATGCCACTGCACTCCAGCCTGGGTGACAGAGCAAGACTCTGTCTCAAAAAAACAAACAAACAAAATAATGGCTGGGCACAGTGGCTCACGCCTGTAATCCCAGCCCTTTGGTAGGCCAAGGCGGGCGGATCACGAGCTCAGGAGTTCGAGACTAGCCTGACCAACATGGCGAAACCCTGTCTCTACTAAAAATACAAAAATTAGCTGCGTGTGACAGCGCATGCCTGTAATCCCAGCTACTCAGGAGTCTGAGGCGGGAGAGTCGCTTGAACCTGGGAGGCAGAAGTTGCAGTGAGCCAATATTGCACCACTGCACTCCAACCTGGGAGACAGAACAAGACTCCATCTCAAAAATAACAATAATTAATTTTAAAAATTAATATATATGGGAGGTCTATAATCTCAGCACTTTGGGAGGCCAATGCAGGTGAACTGCTCGAGTCCAGGAGTTTAAGAGCCAGTCTGAGCAACAAAGACTCTGTCTCTATAAAAAAATACAGAAATTAGCCAGGTATAGTGGCACATGCCTGTAGTCCCAACTACTTGGGAAGCTGAGGTGGGAAGACTGCTTGAATCTGGGAGGGCAAGGCTGTGGTGAACCAAGATGGTGCCACTACACTCCAGCCTGGGCAACATAGTGAGATCCCATCTCATTTCTATCAAAAAAAAAAATAAATATAGGGGATAAATCACCAATCCACCTAAACCCATCAGTGAGTGAGCAGCTTAATTATCAATTAACAGCTTATTATGCATGATGAGTCCTCAGATGAAAGGAAATAAAACAAAATACCACCCCATACATATAGAGTAATTTATAACTCATAAAATGCTTTTATACATCATATATTAGGCTCTTGGGACAGTGAAGCAGAGAGAATAGGATATGCAAAGTATGATAATATCTGAGTACTTAGTATGTGCCAGCTATAGTGTTAGGTATCCTATATACATCTCATTTAATCCTCCCAAAAACCCATTGAGATAAGACACTAACTCTCATCTTCGTGGTAGATGTATAGGCTCGGATAAATTGATACCTTGCCCAACCAGCCACTGTTGGGGCTTGGATCTGAACCTAGGTCTATTTGCTAAGATAATAGCTAACACACATAGTTATTATGTGCCAACAACTGTTTTAAGGCTTTACATAAATAACTTCATTTACTCTTTATAACAATGTTATAGGCAGGTCCCATGATGATTCCATTTACAGATGAGGCAACTGAAGCACACAGAGGTGCTTTTCATTCTGGAATGGAAACCACATAAGGGGAAGTGAAGAGGTAGGTGGGAGCATATACTACTTACATGCCACTAAGTGGCATTAAAATTATCTCTAATTCACAGACTCTACATAATATTGACAAAAAATTGTAACATATTCAGTAATGCTTGACAGTGTATAAAGTGCTTTTATAATTTCCAAATAGTTATGTGAAGTAGATAAGAGAAGATATCTTTGGTTTATAGGAAAGAAAGCTTAGAGTGGTAAAGTGACTTGTCTGAGATGACAGAATAAAAAGATCTGAATTAGGAAAGAAAGCTTAGAGTGGTAAACTGACCTGTCTGAGATGACAGCATAAAAGATCTGAAACAAGGTCTTTGTACTTCTTATAGAGTGTTATTTTCGACTACGTTGTTACCTGCAAGAACAGTTGAAAAGCATCCCCTCATTCTGCCAAGATACCAGCTTACCTAGGCGAGCCCTTGTCCGGGGTCCCTGCATTTGACTCCGAAGTTCAGGCCTCAGATGAAACTTCTTTGCTTCATCAACCAGATCCCTGCACTGTAAACTACAGCGGATGAAAGGCTGAAACACAGCAGACAATGGAGTGAGGCACAGGGGATATCTGTAATACTGTAAGAGTACAAAGGGCACATGCAAAGAATTGACTTCTGACCACAGAAAACCAGTTTCCAAAGCCCCGTGATTCCAGGAGTACTGCCAGTAGTAACTATGCTCTGGGTTTCCAGAAATGATTTTTGTTTTTTTAAATTTCTAATTCAACTGGGAGTTCGGCTACCATCTCATGTCTCTTCACATTCCAAGGTTCTTTTCCTTTCTTCAGATCCAGAAATGATTTTTAAAAGTTATTTAAAAAACAGATAATATACTAGATGGATCAAAAATTAAATGATATAAAAAGGTATGTTGAGTAGTATTTTCCATCTCTCTCAGGGATTACATGTAAATATTTTTACATAGTTTGTATGTCCTTCCAAGGATTATGCAAACACAAGTTCATAACTAACAAGAAAAATAATAAGGGAAAAACCAAAAAGATTGTTATTTTCTGGGTGACAGGAAGAAGTATATTTTGTCTGAAATATTTCCCCCAAGGTTCACCGTGCTGTTGTAATCACCATGTCTATTTCTGATAGCTTTGTACTGGACATCTTTCATTTGCCTCCCAACTCACTCTGTACCCTTTTCCACTCTGCCTCTGGCTCAGAAGACTGGCCTATATGAACTGTGTCAATAGGGCTTCCTATGCCTTCTAGCTTCTGGTTGGGATAGCCCAACCAAAGCTCAAGGTTTCTCTCAAGGCAGTGATTCTACATGATTCTTTTTCCTTTAATGTTCTAGTAGCCACTCTTCAACCTTGTCCCTTCAGGCTTAGGGGCTGTTAATAGCCTATGTGTCCTAAATCCAGGTGATTTCACTGTCTTCTGTTGTTTCTCTGAACTTGCACCTTTGTAAACAGCTTCTTTATAACAAAAACTCTTCTCAAATTGTCCTACTTTGAGCATACCATCTGTTTCCTGTTGGGACTCTAAAGGACACAGCTCTAATTACATAGCACCTCTATTAACCTGACCAAGAAGTTCTCTGTTGAACTGGAAAGGAAAACAAATAAACAGTAGTAAACACGTACAAGACGTGATTTTAAAAACTTTCACATAGTAACTTAACTCAATGCTGACAATAACATATGAGGAAGATACTATTAACATCTCTGTTTTACAGACAAGAAAGCTAAGACACAAATATATTAAGACATCTGCTAAAAGTTCACAGAGTAAGTGGTGAATTTGGGATTTCAGGCCCAAGTCTGGTTCCAGCATCTGTGCTCCTAACCACAATGTAAAGAACTAAACACAAGGGATATGTGAGTGGGTTGTAAGAAAGACAGAAATCACAAATAGGAGAAAAAGAGTTTGAGATGTGACACTAACCATCTTGCAACTTTTCTCATGTGAACAACTGAAAACTGAAATTAACTCACTAAGAGATCTAGGGCTGGGCCAGCAAGAGGAACTCTTTTACTGGCCTGGGCCTTACCTACATGCTATAAATCAGTGCTCCCTCAAAGTATGGTCCAGGCAACATAGGTGGTATATATGGTAAAAATTATGAAAAAGTGTCACAAAGAACTTAAGTTGGAAAAACACTTCTATAAATAAACTCAACATGATATGACTAAAGTTGACACTAAAATGTATCAAGCTCCTTTCATACTGGTTTCACCAGAAGTCAAAAATGAAGAGGTTTGCTAAGTGTGGCATCAGGGCAATTTGAACAATGGAGAAGGAGACAAAGTTTATTATCAGGTGTTGATACAAAACAGGGGCATGTAAAACAAAAGACAGCAAAACACAAAACTGAAACACATTTTCATTTGTGTCAAGAGCCTGACTTGTCAAGAAATTCACTTTTCTTAGAAATATGCCTGGGGACGACCCAGCATCACTCTCACTGGCATTCCTAGAGAGGCAAACCAGGAGACACTGTGCCTACATCAAAATAATCAATTTTGAATATATAACACTAAGGTAAGAATTTATCACGGTTTTGGATTCTGAGAGTGTTGCATTACTTACCTCAGCATCTATTACATCTGTGATATACCTGGGGGTTAGCAGGGGCATCCGCACATACTGCAGCAGGTTAGGCAAGGATTCTTCCCGCTCTTTCTTGGCATGCTTCACCCAGTTGATCACAGCCTCGAAGACCGGCTCTTCAGAATCCACCTATAAAGGTGTAATTACACACCGTGGATCTACTTTTTCAATTAGCTCACTATCTCAAATAGTTACCACATTCACTTTCTCCTTCCTGCTTCCCATTGCCCACCACCACCATTTCCCATCTTCCAGAAATAGCTAGGCTCTTGGGAAAACAACTTTTTTCAGACACAGCTAACAGATCAGGAAAAGAATTACAGTCAATTTGGGTTAAAAAAAAAAAATCTAAAATAGATAGTACCTAATAAATCACCAGTCACATACGGGTCTTCATTTCAGAATTTTTCCCATTCCCGAATTGCTTCTGGTCAATCCCTGTAACTTTAGGGAAGGTAAGTGGGGGAACCTGTTGCCTTATTCAAAATCAGCTCTTAAAATAATTTTTGGTCATAATTGTTATCTAATGATCTCCAGGCTCACCCCTCAAATTGTCTACCCAAGCCTCTGAAGCAGGAGCTTCTCTAACATCACTAGGTTGCAGTTTTCAAAAGCAGTATCAATTAGCCTTCCAGCAACTGCTATATATTAGGCACTGTGCTGTTTGAGAAGATATATTTAATTAATCATTTGGGGAACTTAGGTCTAAGCTTACATATGACCAATTAGATAATGTGAGAGACACTCTAAAAAAACCTACATCACTGGAAAGACCTAGATATATAATAACACCTGGGACTTTCCAAAGACAGACATCTGAGTACAAGTCCTGTGTCCCTTCTACCAGTACCTAGGCAGTACATATTCTGGGAGATACCTTTCAGAATGTCACTGTGACTAGATTAAAAAAACCACCCTGTAAACTTTTCCCAAGAAGTGTGATACTCTAAAAATGCAGAAAATATTTCACAAAGTTCATTCATTTGAGGGCTTTACTGAACCCCTCTCTTAAGTGCCAGATACTGTCCTGGAAACTGATTATACAATGGTGAAGAAATCAGATATGATTCCTGCTCTTATGTGGGGAGTGAAACTGTTAAATCAGAAAAATGAACAATCTATTATTGCATACGGCATAGGAAAGATACTGGGGGTTGAGACAGAACAACATGAAATTCCCTAATTTAGATTGGTGAGTCAGGGAAGGCCTCCCTGAAGAAGTAACAAATTTAAATCTGATGGCTGAGTAGCAGTTAGCCAGGAGAATAAGACAGTACTGCAAGGCAGACAAAAGAGCACACACAACAACACACGCAAAAGCACTAGAAATGCATTGTCCAATACACTACCCATGCGTGGCTATTGACATTCACCTTAATTCAAATTCAACTAATAATCAGCTTCTCAGTTGCACGAGCCATATTTCAAGTGTCCAACAGCAACACGGGTCTAGTGGGAGCAAACTAGGCAGTACAGATATAGAGTACTTCCATCTTCACAGAATGTTGTACTGAACAGCTCTGTCCTACAGCAAAAAAGAACTGGCAGCTTGAAGAAATGACAGAGGCTAGTGTAGTAGAGTGAATGTGGGTGACAGAGGAGTAAAAGATGAAGCTGGAGAGTTAAGCAAGGGCCAGATACAGAGAGCACTGGAATACTGGATTTGATAAGAGGAAGCATTAGCAACTGGGAGTCAGACATCTTGGTCCTATTTCTGGCTGGTATACGGAACAGAAAAAAAAGTGTCACTTGCTTTCTTATAGAAAAAAGGCGGCCGGGCGCGATGGCTCAAGCCTGTAATCCCAGCACTTCGGGAGGCCAAGGCGGGTGGATCACGAGGTCAAGAGATTGAGGCCATCCTGGTCAACATGGTGAAACCCCATCTCTACTAAAAATACAAAAAA